CGTCCTACCTTCCAGAAAGTGGTCGCTTTTCTGTTCAGAGTGTTGTTACTATTCTTATCTTGGATCTCCTGTTGTGTTTGTAGGTGTTCAGAATGGTTTGATCCCTATTCAACTGAATTCCTGAGACCAGATGAAATCCAGGTCTCCTACTCCTCCGCCATCTTGCTCCTGATGTGTTCATTTTTTATCTTTTGTTTCTATCTGTGTCTTTTTTTACTATCAGGAATATTTTTCTCAACTCTGTCATTCATTTTTTTATTGAAATCTTTATTACATTGTTATTATTAAGTTTCCCTCCATTCCATGCAGTACCTCCTTACTCTCGAGTTGATTTTTTTTAACTTTTTTTTTAAAGATTTTATTTATTTTTTTATTTATTTGAGAGAGAGAGAGAGAAACAGCATGAGAGGGGAGAGGGTCAGAGGGAGAAGCAGGCTCCCTGCTCGATCCCAGGATTCCGGGATCATGACCTGAGCTGAAGGCAGTTGCTTAACCAACTGAGCCACCCAGGCACCCCAGTTGATTTTATTTTAGTATGTGTGTTTGGTCTGTATCTTTCAAGTCAAAGGCTGTTTTCAAATACCTGGGCATCTTTGGCAACCTGTCTTATTTAGGAGTGAGTCTATAAAAAGCTGACCACAGCCCTGTATGCAAGGGTGGCAATTGTCAAATGGGAAGCTTCAGAGAAGAGTGATCAAGAATGCCTGTTCTAGATACTTTAGGGGAGGCAACAACTATAGGTCTACAGAATCTATAGATCTTTTTTCTTGGACTAGTTATTCTCTCCAGACAGGAAATCTTTAATCTTACCATTGGGGTAGGAAGTTAGGCAGGGCTAGATGGGGGTGGGTTGAGGGTAGATGTTAACATTATCTCCGTTTTACTCATGAGAATACTACAGTAAAGAAAAGCTAATAATCATTGGGTTAGTAACCACCCAAAGTTATTTGGTAATAAATCCTAAAGCCTGGATTCAAACTCCAGCTGTCTAATTTTAGAATCCTAGCCTGCTATATAAAGTGTTCTTCTATATCAGTAAAAACATAAACAGCTAAATAAGGCAGGCAAAAGGCATAAATCAGCAATTCAAAGTTTGGAAAGTCCTTGCCGCTTGCCTTTTTTGTATGTTCTTGGTGTCTTTATGTGTCTGAGCATTCCTTCTCTCTCCTTTGTGAGACTTTGGATCCACTCCTGAACCCCTCACTGTGCGGATTCTTCATGCTTCTGCACACTGCTTGTCAGAGAATCATCCATTCGTGGAATTTCAGTCATTAACAACTTGCAGCATTATCCTATATAATATTGTATAATGCTCATTTACAATCACCTCCAACAATTCCCTGTTTTCTCAAATTATTTGTACTTAAATGTAACATTGTCTTGTCTTTGTTTCAGGAACATTTTCACATCTCCTGTATCCTTGAAGGCAAGACTGTTAGGCCCTTTCAGATGATTTTTATACTATCATTCATGTTGTATACACATATTTTTTAATTACACATCTGGAGTATATTTTAACATTATAATATTAACCCTTTAGTAAGTGGCTTATTGAGGTTCTTAAATACATTCCTTTATTCATTACTGACCAAAACAGTTTTACTAGTATTAATAGTAACTATGTTACTAAGCATTTTATTATAAGCTATTTTATAAGAGATATATTTTGTGTGTGTGCGTTTTTGTGTTGTTGTTGTTGTTTTCTTTCTGTAGGCAACAAGCAAATCCAGGAGCTATCCTTTGTATCACAGTGTCTCTGAAACATATGAATTGGTGGAAAAATTTTATGATCCAACTTTTAAGTATCACCTTGCTGTGGCCCAGGTTCGAGGAGGGATGGTATTTGAACTAGCCAATTCCATAGTGCTCCCATTTGACTGTCGAGATTATGCTATAGTTTTGAGAAAGTATGCTGACAAAATCTACAATATTTCAATGAGACATCCACAAGAAATGAAAACATACAGTGTGTCATTTGGTATGCTACACCTCCTCTTTCAAAATTCATTATCTCTGCGCTTCAATTAATCTCTAAAATGTTATGATCTACTTTCGTCCATTTATTATTTATTGCTAGTCCCTGTGATCAGACACTTTGTTTACATCTATAAATGTATTTGTCATTTCACTGATGCTCCTCTTGTAATATATAAAATATAAATACCTTGTAAAATGCAGAAGAGAACAAACAGCTTCCTATACTGTTCCCTTTGCATAAGCCATAAGACAACGCCATTAGGCCCCGATTTCTATTTCAGATTCACTTTTCTCTGCTGTGAAGAACTTTACGGAAATTGCTTCTAAGTTCAGTGAGAGGCTTCAAGACTTGGACAAAAACAAGTATGTTCTACATTTTTAAGTTATGCCAATGATAGATACAATGAAAAAGAGATACTGATTGATGTCTTTGTTGCTGAAATGTCTTTGGAAAGTGTTTTACTCCTGTCTCTCCACCTTAAGGCATCCTGTACAGGGCTGCCCTATCTCTGCGAGACCCACCTCTAACTTTCTGAGTGGCAGCCCTGTGCTGAGAAAAGCCAGCACTTCCTTAACTACCAGCTGATTAGTGACAAAATTCCCACCTTAGCACTGAGGGACCTCCACTGTGTGACCCCAGCTTTTTCTAGCTTTGTCTCTTGTTCTTTCAGTGTCTGTCCATCATACTTCAACCAACTTCTCCTATTTCCAGAACACACTTTCTTTTCTTCCTCTTCTTAATGTCATTACCTCCAGAGTTTCTCATTTCTACTTCCACCTGATAAAATTCTTTCTCCAGAACAAGTATTGAGAAGCCAGTTTTCTTCTAATATTAAGCATTTAGGATTCATTCTGTGTGAAATCACCAAAGTAAACATAATTGGAATAGAACTTTAAGATGGGAGAAAAATAATGAGAGGATATTAAGGACATTTTTTTGAAGTAGAATTTTGAGAGTGAACTTCTACTGTTTATTAAGCCTATTATGATGATACGGATATCAAATCCTTAGGGACTGATGCAAAAATACATTGAAAGATAAGAGCAGGCAGTCCAAAAATAGATGAGTGACATATAGGAATATATTTGGGTAAAAAAAAATGTGTTTGTAATGAAGGACACATCAACAATAAATGGAGGAAGAAAGACATATTCAACAATAATGTTGTTTAAGCTCTTTTAGCAACGGATAAGAAAGTGAGTTCAGAATCTCACTTCATATCACATGCAAACATAAGCAATGATTGTAGAAAAATTCTTTATTAAAAGTTGATATTTCTTGGAAGTGAAATTCCAAGTTTAGAAGCAACAGGGAAATGACAAAGGAATCAGGTTTGAGAACACTGAAATGGTTCATAATATGAAAGTCAATTATCAAAAGCAAAGAAAAAATTGGGAAAGCTCTTTTCCAGCAAATATGGAAAGGGAGTAATATAAACATAAAAATATTTTTTTGAAAATTGGTAAGAAAATCCAAAAGAACAAAGCTGAAAATGTTGGCAATGGGCAAGACAATTCAAAAAGAAGATACTATGTGTACAGAAACAGATAAAAAAACATTCAAATTAACTACTGATTAAAAAATATAGATGAAAATAACGTCATACTACTTTTGAAATAACGTTATACTGTTTTTGTATCAACTTAGTAATGATTTAAAACTTGGTCGTACACATTGCACTAGATGGTGCCCTGGAACAGATGCTCTCTCACTTTTCTGATAACATTGTGAATTGTTTTAAAAACCTTTTTGAAAAAATAAATAAATAAAAATAAAAAATAGAAACCTGAAAAGCATAAATACATACTGTTAAAGTTTCAAGAGCCATTTACAGAGTTCTTAGACTTTGCCATAGTATTTCCATTTCTTGGACCTTTTCTTTAGGAAAGAATTTCAAGTTTGGAAAGAAAAAAGGGCTTCTCAGAGAAAGATATGAATTGTAATACCAAACAATTCAAGGGGCTCCCGGGTGGCTCAGCTGGTTAAACATCCGACTCTTGATTTCAGCTCAGGTCATGATCTCAGGGTCGTGAGACAGAGCTCCACATCAGGCTCCATGCTGGGCGTGGAGCCTGCTTAAGATTCTCTCTCTCCCTCTCCCCCCTACCCATCCCTTCCCCCACTCATGCTCTTTCAATAAATAAATAAATAATAAAAAAATAGGGGCACCTGGGTGGCTCAGTCAGTTGAACATCTGCCTTTGGCTCAGGTCATGATCTTGGGGTCCTGGCATTGAACCCCAGTGGGGCTCCCTGATCAGTGGGGAGCCTATTTCTCCCTCTCCTTCTGCCTCTCCTCCTGCTTGTGTGCTTTCTCTCTCTGTGTCAAATAAAAAAATAAAATATTTTTAAAATAATAATAATAAAATAGAAATAGTTTATAAAAAATATCAAATCATTCAAAACAATCAATACCTAAGAGGTATTGATCTATCTAAAAGTTAGATGTCCTCCAATTTGAACATTTCATAAACATTGAAATAGTTGATTATAAAGGAAATATAAGATATTTACAATAAAATGTGAAGCAAACCAAAAATATTTAAAATTGTAAACAGTTTGATTACTTATTATTGAACAAATATAGAGAAAAATTCAAAGTAAACCAATTAGTATAATAACTGTGTCATCCTGGGGTGAGTATGGGATTTTTTTTTTCCTTATACTTTACAGATCCTTCCAAATTTGTGTGTGGGTAAAAAAAAAAAAAAAATCAACAATGAGAAATAAATCTTAAGGAGTTTCCAAACACCATATATTCTATGAAGTTGATTTTCTGTCTTTAAAATCTATGATCTTTCCTCCCTCTGGCAAAGTGCCTTATAGAAATGGATTATGATTTTCTAGGACATTTGGCTTTAATAATAATAAAATAATAATAAAACATTGGCTATCGTTTGGTAAATATGCATAATTTTCCAGGAACCCTACTAACTATTAATAGACTATCCCATTCAATATCGAAATGACTTCTTTGAGTAGGTTATTAGGATACCTAAGATGAAAAACATCTTGCCTGTATTTAAATACCTAGGTTTGCCAATTAATTATTATTTCAAAATAAATACAAATTACTGTTGTCTTTTGCAACTGGCACATATAACTTTATGTGGTTTTATAAGCCTCAGCAGAATAGTATTTTATAGGATTTTAAAAATATAACCACGGAGTGGTGGGGGGTGGGAGGGATGGGGTGGCTGGGTGATAGACATTGGGGAGGTTATGTGCTATGGTGAGTGCTGTGAATTGTGTAAGACTGTTGAATCACAGACCTGTACCTCTGAAACAAATAATACATTATATGTTTAAAAAAAAAGAAGATAGCAGGAGGGGAAGAATGAAGGGGGGAGAATCAGAGGAGGAGATGAACCATGAGAGACTATGGACTCTGAAAAACAAAATGAAGGTTCTAGAGGGGAGAGGGGTGGGGGGATGGGTTAGCCTGGTGATGGGTATTAAGGAGGGCACGTTCTGCACGGAGCACTGGATGTTATACACAAACAATAAATCATGGAACACTACATCAAAAACTAATGATGTAATGTATGGTGATTAACATAACAATAATAAAAATGTAACCATGTATACTATTGTTCTTAATTTACATATCATAGAGATTTAAGATATATTAGTTATATTTAATTTTGTTGTGAATTTTTAGTTTGCTGTGCAGTGCATGCTTTCTCATGAAGTGACAACTGTATTTGTTTTGTTGTTTAGCCCAATATTATTGAGAATTATGAATGATCAACTGATGTTTTTGGAACGAGCATTTATTGATCCTTTAGGATTACCAGACAGGCCTTTCTATAGGTAAGGATACAAATATGACTCCTGATTATATCTTTATTTTTTCTTTTTTGAGCTGTGGAAAAAATATAGTTGATTTCTTATAAGGAAATAGAAATTTCAAAATATATGTGGCAAATGATATATTATTTTTTCATATAATGTAATGTGATTGCTGCATTTTTCTTTTTAATATCTTTTTTACCTCTGATTATAAAAGAATATATGTTCATTGTAGGAAATTTAAAAGATCAACAGAGTCACAACTAAAAAATAAAATCACCCCACATCTGTCAGTTAGTTATAAAATCATGCTTACATTTGGTTTATATAATTTTAGCCCCTCTCTCATTTTACATATATTTTTCTTTATATATGTATACACATAAGACATAATAAATATATGTAAAATATATAAAATATGTATTTATATACTCTTTCTCCTAATGTTCACTGTTTTCTAATGTTTAACAATTGTAAATATTTCTGATAAACATCAGTGATGAACATTAGATTGATCTTACTAGGAATTGCAGAACAAATTAGATCAGTGACTAGTGAGAAATGGCCCTGTCTTTCTGTTTATGGATTATCAGAGGATCAGAATTAGGAGTAAGGGCATCATCCAGACATGTGACTGGTTTCCCAATGGCAGCACGATTATGCTTCTTTCCTTCTTTACGTCTTTGCTTGGGAACTTATCCTTCCCTTCATGGGTTATGACATGAACTGACATAGGTCTTTCAATAAAATATCACCTACCTAGGTCATGTTACGCTTTCAAAATTGTTTTTAATAATTATTCATGCTTTAAGCTGGGCATTCTAACATGTTAGTATATCTCCTTTTTTAAGAGAAAAAACACAATAGTAGGTTGGCAGGTCACAAATAGGACTTTAATAATCACAACTGTGCTACATTTCCGGAGGTAAGGTGGGATAGTAAAAAGTCAGTACTTTTTTGCAATGTAGCTTGAGACTAATCACTTAATCTCTCAGATCTCAATTTCCTCCTTTTTGAAATGCTAGTATCAATTTTGTAGAGTTTTTTTTAAGATTTATTTATGTATTTTAGAGAGAGAGGATGCACATGCATGTGCAAGCAGGAGGAGGGGGAGAGAGAGGCAGAGAAGCAGACTTCCCACTGAGCGTAGAGCCCCATGAGGGACTGTATCCCAAGACCCTGAGATCATGACCTGAGCTGAAACCAAGAGTCAGAGGCTTAACCAACTCAGCCACCTAGGCGCCCCTGTAGTGTTTATTTTTAAGGAATAGAAAAATTGTAGGCAAATCATTTAATCGCAAGCACGATCCATAGTAGGTGACAAGCTACTGGGGCTATTATTGTTATTTTTGTTGCTCTGAATCATGTTAAGTCCTCTGTTTAAAGTCAAAACATATACTTCATAGACTGGACTTTGGAGATGATTAAACTTGGAAGTTTAGCTGACAAGGAGCTTGTTCAAATCATAAGATTAGAATTCTGCAGTCCAGGACTTGTAGAGTGCTCCTGTTTTTCTCTTGTATGTATCATTTGGACAACTGATAGACCGCAAACTGTTTTTATCAACAGGCACATCATCTATGCTCCCAGCAGCCACAACAAGTATGCAGGGGAGTCATTCCCAGGAATTTATGATGCTCTGTTTGATATTGAAAGCAAAGTGGATCCTTCCAAAGCCTGGGGAGAAGTGAAGAGACAGATCTCCATTGCAGCCTTTACCGTGCAGGCTGCAGCCGGGACTCTGAGAGAAGTAGCCTGAGGTGGTTCTTCAGAGAACCCGTATTGAATAGGTATGGTCTATCACTCAGAAAGAATCGTGAAAGGCATATTCTAAAAAATATAGTTAATACACGTACACACACACACACACACACACACACATCTTAGCATTCTTCTCCCTATGAATCAAAAAAGAAAGATGGACAATTTTTATTCTATAATTATAGAAGGTTATTCTGAATTTGAACTAAGGGTTAAAATTAAGGCAAACACCTACTATATTGAAACTCTTATGTGGCATTATAGGGAATCGAGTCTAATTCAGCAGTGGCATCAGCCGTACTGGCCACCCAGGGCTGAGAGATCACTATCTTAGCAAACTAGTTGAGCTACTCTGATCTAATCATGCTGCTGGTAAATGCAGTAACTCTATACCATAAAGGATAATTACTTCTATTAAATTAGCAAATATCCCATTTATATCAAAGGGTATATGTAACATTATGTACAGTAAAAAATAAGAGAAATAAATTAACATTTATAGAACTGCCCCCCACAAATAACCAGTTTGAGAAAGAAACGTTACCAATATCTTTGAATCCCCCATCTATCACTGACCAGTGTGCCTTCATCCTCTGCCAGAGATCCTCCCTTTCTTGAATCTTATGTGAATCTTTTCTGTTATCATTATTCCACACATAGCTATATTCCTTATATGTTTTGGGGTTTGTGTATTTTTTTTAACTGTTTATAAATAAAATCATACTGTGTATCTATTTTCTAAGACTTGATTTTTTTCACTCACCTTTGAAGGTGCATCCATGTGTCATTGGGCTGGAGTTCACCGACGTGGAGCAATTCACTTGCATGAATATAACAGTTATAAGTCAAGGTCCAGTTAGGACAGAGAAATCACACAGCAACATACGCAGGGAAAGTTAATATAAAGAATAATTAGTTATAGTACCATTGCCGTAATGAGATACTATCTAGTTAAAGGTAAGGAGAACTCTAAAAAATGTAAGTACGTCAGGTACAAGGAGCGGTCACTATCCCTAGGGCTGAGATGGAGCAGCCAGGGAAGAAATCCCCCCACGCCAAGGGCCTTACTGAACAGCAGGAAGGCACTGTGGTGCTGTGCTAGCAGAACTTGCAAATCTCCCCAGAAACCTGTACTCTGGGCCACTGTGGGAAGCTGATTTGGGGAAATTGCCTTGCCAGAGGCTCTCTACCACCAAGCCAACCAAGGGCCATGTTAGAAGATGCTCCTGATTACTGAGTTCTGGCCACCATGAACTGCAAGAAGCAAGCGCTACAGCAGCAGCCTACACTACAAGACAGGAGCACTGCAGGACGGGGGCGCTGCAGGATGGGGGAGCACTGCAGGATGGGGGGCACTGCAGGACAGGGGGCACTGCAGGACGGGGGCACTGCAGGACAGGGATGCTGCAGGATGGGGGAGCACTGCAGGATGGGCACTGAAGGACGGGGACACTGCAGGATGGGGACACTGCAGGATGGGGGCACAGTAGGATGGGGGCAGTGCAGGATGGGGGTACTATAGGACAGGGTACCAGAATCGGGGTACTACAGGATGGGGGTACTCCAGGATGGGGGCACTGTAGGACACTGCAGGATGGGAGTGATGGTGAAGTCATGTATGCATATGAGCCAGATGCTGAAATCATTTGCATGCAGAGGCCTGCCAGGTGAGCACATGGGAACCAGGAAGGAAGAGCCCTTCCTGCAATGTGGCCACAATGCCTTTTACTCACAAAGTTTAACATCATGCCTCTTGGCAAAGAAGTTTTTAAAGGGCCCAGATATATTTACAAAGAGTAGGCAATAAGAGTAAGTCTGGAGCAGAGACGCAATAAATTGGATAGCGGACACATAACAGAATGCATTCATTCATTTTTCTGCTGGTGGGAGTTTGGAATGTTTTCTGTCTTTTGCTCCTAACAACACATCTCCCAATACAAATATTCAAGTTATTCTCTTTCCTGACAGCATCTACCCATAAATGAAATGTCTGGGTTGTAAAACGTGTACATCTTTAATTTTACTGGGCAATGAGAAACTGTTACAAAGTGATTTTATTCACTTATATTCCCAATGCAAAGTAATCATTTTATACAAAAGAATAGAAATAAGAAAAAATTGGCAGATTAGAGAAATACGAAGAATTTACTGTTCCTAGAATTCAAGGAGAATGTGGGAAAACAATCTATATGTTTAGCATCAGATCACGTAAGGCTTGGGAAGATACACTAAGGAGGGTGATTCTTTTCCTATATAAAAAGCCATGTAGTAACAGTTAAACAGGGTAGACAAATGTTGAGATTTACCTTTTAGGAAGCACTCTGGCCTAGGCGTAGATGGCTTGGAAAGGCCATTAACCCAGCAAGATATCACAACCCGAATTTTTTTCTCATAAACTCTGTGTCACACAGACCTTCACCCTCAGAAAAGATAGGACTTCCCTCTCCTTCACATTTCAGCTCTTCTGTAAAGACCTCCGGGACATTTGCCCATTCCCTGTATCTTAACCCGTACCAATCCTTAGGGACAAGTCTGGATCATAATTGTGTCTCCAGTGTCTACCAGGACGCAGAGTTCGCGTCAGAGTTTGTGAAGAGCTGGTAGTGTGCGTATGGAACTGTGTTTGGCAAATGGTATGTCTGGGAAGTGATGTGCTTAGCACTAGGATTTCAGCAATGCCTTGTAATGGGATTTGATTGAGCATGCTAATAGGCTTTTATTGATGTCGGTGGTAGACATTTGGACAGTACTGTAGGTGATGCGTGGGACTGGGGAAAGGTGAACATCACCATTCTAAAAAGTACATAGGAGAAGCTGTCGCCATGTTGTTGGTGGCCTCCCGTTCAGGCCCGTTCGCGCCCGTCCTATCAGCCACGCCCCGCGGGGTGGCGGGCGCGCTGCGGCCCCTGGGTGCCGGCCTCGGTGCCCGCCACCCCAGAGCCTCCAGTGCTGGACGTGAAGCGGCCCTTCTTGTGCCGGAAGTCGCTGATTGACCAGGCCGCGAGCGGCCTTTGGCCGCCTCCGTGGGTCTCAATGTCCCAGCTTCCATTCGTTATCCCCACACAGACGTCAGAGTGCCTGACTTCTCTATCGACGCACCGAGGTGTTAGATGGTACGAAGTCTTCAAAAGAGAGCAGTGAGGCTAGAAAAAGTTTCTCCTATTCGATAACTGCAACGACTAGTATAGGTGTTGCATATGCTGCCAAGAATGTCGTCTCCCAGTTTATTTCCAGCGTGAGTGCTTCTGCTGATGTGTTGGCCATGTCGAAAATCCAAATCAAGCTATCCGATATTCCAGAAGGCAAGAACATGGCTTTCAAATGGAGAGGAAAACCACTGTTTGTGCGCCATAGAACCAAGAAGGAAATTGATCAGGAGGCTGCAGTTGAAGTGTCCCAGTTGAGGGACCCACAGCATGATTTAGATCGAGTAAAGAAACCTGAATGGGTTATCCTGATAGGTGTTTGCACTCATCTTGGTTGTGTACCCATTGCAAATGCAGGAGATTTTGGTGGTTATTACTGCCCTTGCCATGGGTCATACTATGATGCTTCTGGCAGGATCAGGATGAGGCCTGCACCTCTCAACCTTGAAGTTCCCTCATATGAGTTCACCGGTGAGGACATGGTGATTGTTGGTTAGAGACCTGGACTCAAGTTCTAGGCTCCTTTTGGTCTTCTTGTCACCTCAGAAGACTTATAAGCAAGCCTTCTATACTTAAGTTGATTTGCAATATTTAAGAATTGCTAATATTGTATTTGCAAACATTAATGTGAAGTAAATTGAATTTAATGTTGAATGCTTTCAAGCATTCACCTAATAAAGCCACTGTTAAACATTGTTAAAAAAATAAAAATAAATTTTAAAAAATTAAAAGTGCATAAAAACCCACATGATAATGGAAAGTTTTGTGAACTTTCAGTCAAATTGTAAACATGCAATAAGCATTGCCCCCAAAACATTTTGTATAATTGCATGGCTTAATAACATATTTTGGCAATACATTTATTGTAACTGTTATTCACAAGAGATTGTATGGCAGCAGGGCATCTGGGTGGCTCACTTGGTTAGGCATCTGCCTTCAGCTCAGGTCATGATCCCAGGGTCCTGGGATTGAGTCCCCCCATCGGGTTCCCTGCTCAGTGGGGAGTCTGCTTCTCCCTCTCCCTCTCCCCACCACCCCCACTAGTGCAAGTGCACGCTCTCTCTCAAATAAATAAAACATTAAAACAAACAAAAGTGTACAAGAGATTGTACAGTGACGGTCAGAACCACGGCTTTGGGAGATAGACTGCCAGTTCAAACCCTGCTCCTTTCACTTGGAATATGACTATGGGCAAATTATTAAGGTTCTCTTAAGTTTTTCGATCTATAAAAATGGGTGTTAAACAGTATTTCATAGAGTTTCTGTAAGGATTAAAAGAGCTAGTACATGCAAAGCACTTGGAACAGTGCCCAGCATATAAATACTAATCAATACATGTTTGATATTGTCATTTGAGTGGTAGGGTATTTCTTAATATGGTAATTATCATTTTTTTCTCTTCTCTTCTGCATGATGATATAGTTGAATTAAATACCTACTATAGCTTCCAGCCCTACAATTCTGAATTATTGTTTATTCTTTTATATGCATCTTTTAATTGCTTATTGTTTTTTTTTCTATCTCATGTAAGTTGCAAGATGTGTTTCAACAAATTGCAGTTACATATTTGTTGTCGAGTGTGGCTTAAAAATGAGGTTAACTAATTTTGTGCACAGGAAATATACCAAGTAAATTTTACATTGATCTGGGTATTTAATAATGATTAAGTAAAATCACTTACCAAACTGTAATGGCAAGAAAATGATAAGGATGCTGCATACATTTTGGACAGCAATTTCGTCCAAGTTTAACTGGTTTATGAAATTGGAAAGACAATGCATGAACTTTAAAGATGAACCACGTTCTATGGACTTCCTGTAGATTTTTGTTTCTCATTAATCTCTTGGGACAATCTCGGGACCATAATGTGTTCCATATTGCTGAAGGCTGAACTTTATAGGCTGTCTGTTGTGCAGTTAGAGGAGAAAGATGTATGGGTAAGTAGGCATAGAGTGGTTTTATAGCTCAAAAATAGGATATCAAATTGGAATAGTAAATAGAAAAATAAGTCAACATGTATACCAACAGTACTTTTCTAGTCTCAGGGACAGTACTATATATCTCTATCTTATTCTATGGGCTACATTGATCCACAGGTTTAATGCCTTATATGTTCATCTGATATGAAAGTTTATAAAACACATTGCTTTGGAAAACTGAAAAGATTATAAAGTCCAATAGAGATGGAATTTCATCTCTGATTATTAGGGTCTATTATTATGATTTCTCATATTTCAATTCATACATTCTCCACTACATTTACTTGAGTAAATGAAATCCTTCAGTGAATGATTTGGGCTATTAATAAAGAAATCAAATTCAATGCCAAAGAGTGAAATTTTCAAATAATTTAAATTCAACTTGTATTCCATCAAAAAATTATATTTTAATCAAATAATTTAAATTCAGTTCAATTTATATTCAATCCAAAATATATTCAAATACCAAAATAAATTCAGATGAAATAAGCAATTAAATTTGGAGAATACAACCATAAAATCGAATGAAATGAAACATCAGGTTTAATGTCTGGATGGATAGGATCTACTAAAC